GGTCGGTTTGAGACTGAGCCCCTGCAAAGGCCTGGAGTCACAGCAATGAAGCTAAGGGCATTTGACAGTATTGCTTATGGTACTTGTGTTTCTCCATGAATGAAATCAATGTCTTTTTGGCAGCAAAGTGAACCACTAAGATGAGGGGTAAAAGCCTATTTAACGAGTAAAAGTGGATTAATGGCCAACAGTATATCACGGGAACCCTGAGTAACCGTGACAGTGTGTATCTGTAACAGGAGACGTTGCCTTGGATTGCAGGCTTCTATTAAGATGGCCAGACTCACCCAGGAGGGAAAAAATTGTGAATTTGTTTAGGTATTTAAATATTTTCAAAGGCCCTAATTCTAATTCATTAATGTTAAAACTGAAATTTTTGTATTTCCCTCTCTTAAAAGGCTACGCTTCCCAGTTACTCTGGCAGGGCTATCACTACACGGGTTATAATCCAGACAGATTTACCAGGAAATTAATTAACTTAAACTTGAGATCCTCATGCTCACTGGCCCCTTCCAATTAGGGACTCAGTTCTATACCTAACTTTGAGTCTAAGTCCATATTCTTTTTCTTAGAGAGTCCCAATTATGTATACTTTGGGTCACATAAGACTTAGAAATGCCTCCAGTAGAACCTGAGAATTATTAAAGCACTCTTCTTATAAAACTTCTTAAATATCATCTTTATTGATTTCAGAGAGAGGAAGGGAGGGGGGAGAGAGGGAAACATCAGTGATGAGAGTCATTGATTGGCTGCCTCCTGCACGCCCTGCCCTGTGGATCGAGCGACAACCGGGGAATGTGCCCTGACCGGGAATCGAACCGAGCTCTCCTGGATCCCAGGTCGATGCCCAACTGCTGAGCCACGCCATCTGGGCTAAATCACACTTCTCACTCATCTCATCTTTAGTTCTAAGGATTGCTATTTCATTCTTCAAAATTCTCTTGGGTTTTGCTTTCTCCTTCTGCCGAGTCTACTTATTTAGTTCGGGACTTCATACTTGAAAACTGCGTGGTTGTGATACCTGATAGCTGGTTAATTTGCAAATTTACCATCCAAGCTTAAGATATTTTGGTGACTTTCCACTACCACCGATTTTCTGAAACTGGGATGCTTAAATGCCCAGCCAAAAGCGGCAGTCAGCCCTGGCTGGTGCTGCTCAGTGGTGAGAGCATCGGCCGGCACACTGAAGTGTCTTGGGTTCGATCCCTGGCCCCGGTAGGGGTGCATGAAGGAGGCAGCCAATTAATGCGTCAAACATCGATGTTTCTCTTCCTCTCTCTAAAAAAATCAATGGGAAAAAATATCCTTGACTGAGGACTAACAACAACAAAGTGGCCGCCAACCAGAGGGTACCTGAAGCCACAAGAGAAACGTGACTTTTTTTTTAAAAGAGCATTATTTTTACCTGATGGCACATGATTTAAAAGATGACCTCCCCCCTTCTCCTCTTTACTTATATCGACAGGATATAAAGTCAAGTGTAACAGGAAGGAAACTTTGAGCTCAGAGGCAGGGAACTTGGTTCACCACCACTCCTGCCTTATTATCGCCGCACCCAAGGACCTCGACATTCATTCACTCTTCCACTCCCGTGACGTCATGACAGAGGAACTGGGACAGACACGCACATTTACATTCACCTCTGACCCTCCATTACCTCAACCAGCCCCTTCCCATTCAAGGCAACACCAGCAAAATCACCATTCTCTTGCTTTTCCTTTTAACATCTTAAACAGTGTCAGGGGTGGGGATTTTTGTAAAGGTATTAACTTTATAAAAAGCCTGCTGCATGCTGTATATAATTTTTTTTTAATTTTATTATTTTTTAATTTTTTTAATCCTTACTCTAGGATATTTTTTCCCTTGCTTTTCAGAGAGAGTGGGAGGAGAGAGGGAAACATCAATGTGAGAGAAACACATCAATTGGTTGCCTCCCGCTCATGCACCGACCAGGGCAGGGGATCGAGCCTGCAACTGAGGTACGTGCCCTTGGCCGGAATCGAGCCTGGTACCCTTCAGTCCACAGGCCGATGCTCTAACCACTGAGCCAAACTGACTGGGGCTGTATATAATTCTTAAGAACTTACTTTTCATTCTATGTTATACAGAGTGGGATGAAAGAAGGTTTACAGTTGCTCATATGGAAAAGAATACAATAATTATAAGTAATAATACAAGAATAAACTCACGTACTCATAACTGTAAACCTACTTTTGCCTTCCTGTATTGCTAGGATTAATCCATATTGTGGCATGCATTTGGGGTGCTGTATAAATATATCCTAATTTTTGTATATATTCCTCTATTTTATAAATTAAAAAAAAAATGAGGCCCATAGAAATTAAATCACTTGCTCAAGTAATACAGCTTGCATGAGTCGGATTAGGAGTCAAACCTGAGGCCCATATCCTTTCATACCTGTTATAAGCAGGGATTTAATTTCTCTCTTAATCTTTTACAATGCCTAGCCTAGTACTGAACACTTATTTAAAGAACAGAATTTATTACTAAGCCCACAAATAATGTAAGAACACTGCAGGTTCTCCCATTTACCTTTCACAGGAAGTCACCTGAGGATGTGCAACATAAACTAAGGAGGGAGATGTGGGGCCAGGGAATAGTGAACCCTACCCTAGAGAACAGTACAGGGAAGTCCCAGAACAAAAGCCTTGTCACAGAAACTGGAGCAGGACAGTGAACTCTGGGTGGGTGGTCTCCCTGGGGAAAACTTGAGAGCTTAGAAAACCTGAAAATAGGATAGAGGAATCTGGTAGGATATAGAAAAGATATTATATGAACTTGCTTTTAGCACTGACTGTTTTTCAACTTGGGGCACAGGATTATGACATCGTTGCCCTAGAGAAGGAAACATCCTAGCAGTCCTTGGTTCTATAGTAAACATTTGCATAGGAAAATGTGAAATGCTTTTCACTTATGTATTTCATTGAATATAAGACTTTTTTCCTCACATTTTAACAGCTGTAAATGAAACGCATCTTCCAGTCAATGGGGTGTCATAGCTTAATTCATTATTTATATACAATAAGGGCCCATCTTACAATCAACAGCATATTGGATTTCATGAACTCTGTGTGCCAGGAACAGCTTTATAACGTACTCTTTCTCACGTAATCTCTTTAACAGTTTTATGCAGCTGGTGTTATTATCAACATTTTACAGAAAAAGAAACTGAGGCTCAAGGAATGAACAATATGCTCAGGACGACTGACAATAAGTGGCACAGCCAGAACTGAGAATCAGGAGTGACTTCAAAGGTCACGTTCTCATTGCACATCCACATTTACCATGGGCGACTCAAAGCTGGCTAAAAACCTATCCTTGCCAATTTGGCTCAGTGGTTAGAGCATCAGCCCTCGACAGAAGGGTCCTGGGTTTGAGTCCAGCCAAGGGCACGTTCCTCAGTTGCAGGATCCATCCCTGGCACCAGTCGGGGACCAATCAATGTTTCCCTCTCTCGATCTCTCCCCCTTCCGCTCTCTCTGAAAAGCAATGGAAAAAAGTATCCGCGAGTGAGGATTAAAAAATTAAAACCTACCTTACCCGAACTCCTCAAATCAAGGTGTAACTCCAATGAAAAGCCTTCCCAACGCCCCCAGGAAGCACCGATCTTGCCCTCAAGGTGCTCCCACAACACTTCACTCTATTACGCCTTCTTATAACGTGGGACGCAACAGTATCTGAGCCACCCCGACCCCACCCTGCCCACCGGCTCCTGCTGCACGTAGGAACTCGGTGTCTGCTAAAAGCAACGGGGACTCTGCTCTCAGTCTAAAGGGAAGACGACAAATGCACATGGAGCTAAGTCAGGCCCAAGCAGCGTCGCCCCAGCACTGTGAAGTGCCCTGGAGCGGAGGAGAAAAGAGCCGGTGACAGCGAGTCCGTGCGCGGGGTACAGCTCAGCCCGCGTCCAGACTGACACACATCGCGCTGAGAGCAGGTGCCGGGACGTCTTCTTTAACTCACAGTTAAC